CGATATTGTGCTTAATTATCTAATTGTAATACGATCAATATGATCAGCCATAGAGCAACTATATCTGCATAATATATAATTGTATTAAATCTTAGGCGCGCGTTAAACGATAAATTTTGCTATAGATTATCGTAAGAGTAAGAGAATACTACTCGTGTTGTATTCTCTTACTCTTACTACTATTACTTTAATATATTCTTAGACTAGTAGTGTCCCGCGGCTCAGTTTACGTAAATTTACGTCTAAAGTATACTATGTTATAATCTATGAAATGATCAGTCTGTGTGCCAAATTTTATTGCAATATAACGAATAAATACTAATACTCGTAATATGTGTCAAAAGGAGAAGTGTTAATTTTTAGTGTGAGTTGTTACATATTTTAACCCACAAGAAAATATATGACGATAGATTCTGGGAGCAATTAGACAAGTTTTACAACAATGTGTTACTGAAAAAATACAATAATTATATATTTTTTTGGATTTTAATAGTATAGGTTATCAAAGTTTTCATGAAATTTAAGACTGCAATTTTAATAAATAAAGAAATATTGCGTTTTTTTCTATATTTAAATAAACTGTAGTGAATACTTTACATTTCCTAAAAAAATTTATCAAATTATAACTGTTTCAGTCAAAGTATTCATTCGTTCACAAGTAATATATATTTATTTATAGAAAAGACAATATCGTTATTCAAATATATGCATTATTTGAAAATAAATTCTATATAGTTAAAATTTTGCACTGGCTGAAAAGCTTTCACTCTAGTAATTATATTTGTGTATTCCTCTTTGCTACAACCATAGTAGGGATCGGTAGGCATAGTAAATCAACAAAATTATAGTTATAGGCTACTGCAACAACCAATCAAACTAGTGGAAGATTTATTTGTATTGATATGTACGTGATTCCCCATATGTGTATCTGTGATTTGGGTCATCCAATTGGGAAATATTAGCCTACACTATGCTAGTATTACATTTTGAAAAATGGATAGCGTACATTTGGTAGTAACTTCTGTCATTAGCTTGGTCCATGGCACAGATTACGACAATAGGTACATATATTACTTATTGTGCCAAATGGAGTCATATATAAAAATGGATAGAAAGAAAGAAAAATATTTATTTGGCGCATGTCAATGTATAATGTCTACTCGGTATATCTGTATAACCGAGGAATATTTTATAAATGGTTGTCTGTGTACCTCAATTTTTTCTGTGAAATGGCATGAAGGCATGAAACCTTAGTTTTACGGTTTGGTATCAAGGGCGTGGTAATGGTAAATGGTAACGTAGTATTCGTAGTGTTGATCATGATGGCAGTCGAAACGCCGTTTACTATAATTAACGATAGCTATATAACTATGTCAATGTCGATAGCTTATTTGCTATTAGTAACAAAAAATGTTTATGACCAGCATCATTACATAAAGATGAAAATCGCAGTAAAAAATGTAAAAAGTAAAGAAAATCGCGGCCCATAGCCAGTGCAATATGAAAGTTTAATTGTATTCTATTTCACTGTATTCGTTTACACAGTAACAATAGTATTAAGAGGAGAATACCCCACTTCTGTCTATTTTAAATTAAATACCAAGTGTATCTCATTACAATTTGGAACTCGTAATTCGAACTGGTATTTAACTGGTGCTCACTGAAAACACAACTTTCATAAATAAATGTAATTCAATTCTCACGTAATTATGTTCGCCAAATCCACCAATTCTCATTCAATAATGAAGTGGCACAAAGCGGATTTATGCTCAAAGGCATACCGCTGTCAATATGTTGAACAAAACAAAACTCGCTTGTAATTATGAGGCCGTGTTTGTGTGAGCCGTTATTACATCCTGCAGGTGACGTCAAATCAGGAGCCCGATCAAAGTGAGCGCTTTTAATAAAGCTCGCCGCACATTGCTGTCTATTTAACGTAGAACCCTCGCAGTTTATTCTCGTCGTCGGATTTCTCTTTGTCGGCCGTGTTAAGAGGGTTCTTCCAGCTTTGGTTGGTTATATCAATAGACCATGGTCTCCCTGTTATATCAATATTGCGATGGTATTTCTAAATTCGTTGGCCCATGCATATTTGCATTTCGGTATTACGGTTTATGCTTGTTTAAACTTACCTAAACTAAGAGATGTGGATTCATGTAGATAGTTCAAGACTATTCCATCCTACGTTGTTGATTTTGCGCCATGTAAGTGTTTATAAGCTTATTCAATTAGAATGTTATAAGAAACATTAATTACAAACATATATAGTAGAAAGGAAAAACAATGCAGTCTTATCTACGTAAGTAAATCTTAAAATCTATTTATTTCTGTCCTAAATATATTGTTATACTTATTTATTACACATTATTAGCGTAAATAGTAAAATGATACTATACACAATGTAAAATTTTCGTAATAGTATAATATATCCAATTGATATTTATTTTACTAATTGTTTAATATTGATGTAATGTAATGTATGCATATGTCTATTATATCTAATAATAATTATCTCAGTAAACTTGGTGAGAAATTCCTTCACATTCATTAATAAATCAATTGTATATTGCGGGTTTTAAATATAAGTAATTGTATTCAGAACAAGTTGGACGAGATCGAATAGGCTCCCTTCAAATCGTATCTATTTGGAGGGCGAGGATAAACAGGTGAAACGGTCGGCTCCCACGTTTAGTTCAGATTTGCAAGTTCGGACCCCTTACTATAAATTTATAGCGAAGTTGTTTGTCGTTTTGTACATAGTTTACATAGAGTTCTTAATAGTAATTATAAAGACTCTGGCAAACAAACATGTAAGCACAGCTTCCCACGGGTGGAAAAAAATACTTTATATTAAAACAAAAACTTATCAGTATTATTTTCTTTAGAAAAGCACAACACAATAGATAATAATTGAGTGCAATTAATAAGTATACAATTACAATATCATATACAATTACTACTAACATTTCAAGTTATTGCAAACGATTAAATATGAAATATAAAATTTGTGTAATGATAGTCTCTTTGAGCTTGGATCGTTTGTATCGCCTATTTAAAAAGTTCGGCGGCGTATCAGGGTAAGGGGTCGCATTGCGACCGCATCTGAATTATTAAACTCTTACAATGGCTGATGAATGGCCGATTTAATTCACTGGACATTTCGCACTGGGCACTGGACCCAATCTGCGATGTATCGACATTAACATAAGAATCCTCTGTGCCCTCGTTCTCACGCTCCCTTTATATTGTTTCGGTACTAGTGCTTTATACTAGGATTAATAATTTCCCAGAATTGAGTGCTGGCTCGTAATAATAGTCAATTATTGTCTAGCTGGGAGAACTTTCCATTTACGGACTTATATTGCAGGCAAACAGTTCGCCGTAATAGTTTCGTGGCGAAGTTATAACCACCGTTGCATGTTGTTGAAATATTATACTGGAACGGGTGTTTTTGTTGGCGCTATGGTCTCGTGAAACCACCGCGGTAATAAAAAACATATTAAGGGTCAGTATAACGGGGGTTAAATTACTTTTAATTAATTTTGCAGATTTAAATTGCCTCCCATTCGTTTAGATTTATAACGAATATACATATTTGTAAACCTTTATATTTTTACATTCGTATAGTCAAATATAGATTTCATTTGGTTGTAGGTACTGTCAGTAACATAACAATTTTTAAAACGTTTTGATTCATAAAGAATTAATAAATAGTTTTATTCATAAAATCAGTCCTAGTGTTGAAAGTTGTACTCATTGATTTGATATTAGATCACTTTCAGATATTACTAGTATCTCATGAGTTATGATTAACTACTACAGAAACTCTACCACCCCATTCCACCTCTAATGGTAGTTTTTGTATTACAGAACATGAGCGCGGCAACGATTTTAGCTACGAAAGCGTAGAAGTTTGTTACCGCTACGCTGTAGAACTAACCGGTATCCTTGTGTTAAAAAACAAAGTGCAGTGTAGTGTTCAACTGTTGATTTATCGAGTACTATTACAGCCTTCGGGGCACTAACAATGTTGAATAACAATTTGCGAGCATTTGAATTTCAATCAAGGATAGCACAAAGCCAAGTTTACTATGTTACAAGTACATGCTCTACAAAAGATATTGTTTTTAGTTGTAAAGGAATTCTACTCGAGATCGAAGTGTTCATTTCCAAATTGGTGTTTATTTAGCACTTAGTAAATTGAGATGCTACTCTTTAAAGGATCATTGTTTGCTAGTTTATTAAATTTGTATTAACAACGTTGTAGACCGCTCTTCAATAAGATGTTACAAGTCTTATTGTTTATAATTAGCATTTAAAGTTTTAATGTTAGTTAGTAGATATTTATTAAGAATTGAACTCAACTTTTAAAATATAAACAGCAGTGTGGTCTTCTATATTGTTACATCCACTAAGATCCTAAACTTGCCACAAAGTATTTAGGAGACAATTTAAAATTTTCATTCTTCTTTTGATGGAAAATACCGATAACATATCATAACAAAGTCTATTTGGGAGACGCCTATAAGTTTATATACGCCGCCATGCTGAATTTAATAAAGTCGACAACTCAACATCTAAAGTTTTACTTCAGCGAAAATGACAGTTATTTTATACAAAGTATATGACCGTTATTTTTTAAATTATTATTTTTACATACCACACGAATTACTATTTAAAACGAATACTTTCAAAGCACTCTAACACTAATCTAAGAATACATCATGGTAAGAAATGGAAAATTCTTATTAAAATACTAGAAAACTGATATAAATACTTAAATATTTTTATTTTGTAAATATATATTTACTTACTTACTATATTTAGAAAATACCCAGACCGATACAAACATCAATCATACTTATGAATATAAATATTTGTACTATCCGAAGTGAGGGAGTGTGCTGAACCGTCACTGCCGGTTATGATGAACAAAATTGTAATATTATATAATTCCGATTCCTATTACAAAAAATATAGAATTTTACTGTGTTACTTACCGAAGCGCTTGACTTTGATTTGCTAGCTTTGCTTGATTTAGGCCGTGATGGTGGAGTGGCTGGTGCAGGTGGTGTGCATGGAGGGCTGCTGTCGCTTCCACCGCTCCCACTACCACTGGCGCTAGTGCTTGTACCATTAGATTTCTCTGAGCCGGAGTTGCTAGACTGTAAGAAAATATATGATTTGTATTCTTTGTATCTTGTTATGTTATCCATAATAACATTATAAATACATAACTAAGTTGTGTTAGTCTATCTGTATATTTCATTTTTATGATTAGATGGCTGACCGGAACATACAGTTTGATTTATAATGAGGACGAATATAGGCTATATTTTCTCTCAAAAACAAAAAAACAGTAATAGCCGCAACTTACAACTATCTATAGTAATCTATATAATTGGAGTTAATACTAGATTATTTAGTGGAATTCGAAGGTAAAATTAAACAGCACCACAAAGGTAACCTATTTACATGTAGGAACCTATTTAAAAATCTCAGCAATGTTGTGAACAAAAGGCGCCTTTTATAAAAACGGAATGAAACAACGTCGGTTACGTTAGATAACAATACTTAAAGTTAATTCCGAGCTGAAACAAAATAAAACTTAAAACGAATTCCCTATTAAAACTCCGACGAAAAACATCCCCTGTTGATTCGTCTGAGCAATGTTTGCGGGGGATTGAGTAAAATGAATTGAGATAAACACGGCCCCTACTCATTCCCAACTTTTTGGCGAAACCTTTAATGGTGGCGTGAAATGAAAAGAGGATTTGGGGTAATTGGTTAGTTAATAAGGTTGACGTGGTGAGTGATGGATATTACATACATGTACTTTTGGAAGTATGCCAGACTACATTTAAGTGTAAAAAATATGAGTTTAACAGTTTCAGAAACTATTACGGAATACTGAAATTTATAATAGTCATAAATTTAATTTTGACTAAGGTATAGGGTATATTAATAATATTATTAACATACTTGGGAAATTAAACTTATACTTTCGAAAACATGTCGATATCCTATAGATAATAACTGAGTAGATATAGGAGATGCCTATATCTCTTTCATGTTACAGTTCAAGATTAAACTAGAAATACGATGTTATATTTTGAATTTAGTATAACAATAGTTAATTATAGGTCATGACCTTTCTCAATTTAACGGGGTATATAATTTTGAACGAGTAAGAAATAAAGTAGTCCGCGTCAGTTATAGACATTTTTGTTAGCTAATTTTTCAAGCAGTCTTGTACTAGTTCATAATAAATATTATTAATGTGTACGGTGTAATGTGCGCGTACAGATGAATAATAATTTATTTTTACAATTATTTTCTCTCTTCTAAATGTTGGTTATTTATTTTTACATTACACATAAATATATAATCGAATTGAGACCTTAATTTCTCCTTTTACAGCGCGGGTGAAAATGTACCTACGATTTTAAACAGTCACTTTAGAAATGTTCGAGATTTCGGAATGTCATGGAAGTTACTTGAACAACACGAATAATTTATTTGATTTGATGGAGCTAAAGTAATTATTATGGGAAATTCTTTGTTTAAGAAAAATTGCTGATGAAATCCAATATCAAAAGAGCGTTGGTAGTTTAATATTCATATTCTTTCATAATTAGTCATTTTAAATATAGATAGATAAAATATACTAAATATACTTTAGTTGCAACATACAGTAAAGAAGAAGCAAAAATATATAACAAAGGACACATGTATCCTTACAATAATTTAATGAGTACTGATATATTATTTAAGTATTTTATAATTACTGTCCATATCTGTGATATGTGGACCACTTTCCACTAAAGTTAAAGTCAGTAAATGCATTTTTTCGTATAGGTCTGATCTGCGTCTGTATAGGAATTACTTGACAGTATTCGGTAGGGTATAGATGAACTGAATCAAGTACAACATGTGCAAATATTATCTGTTCTAAGACAGTATTAAAATAGTAAGTAATGGCTAACTTAGTTTTAAATCTTGCCCTACCACTTCTGCTGATGATGTGATTGTATTCAATATAAAATGCAAAGGACACAAAATGTATACACACATACATTTTCTAATTTATATATACATATTAAAAACTTACTTCAGAATGTGATGGGTTGCTGCGTGCGGGAGATATTGGCGAGGCGATGCGTTGTGAGTTTGAGTCGCGTTCGTTACTGCTTGGACCTCCATTTGTAGTGTTGTTTGTACCTAAACATAGCAATGTTTAATCAATTATAATAACCCATCTATATATTTCTATTGTTGGGATGATCTCCTAAAATCTGGGTAAACGTGTAAGTTAAGTACTGATTGATGGATTATGTGATTAGTGGCTAAAACACTCTCAAAGCGCTCTAGTCAGTAGAACGACTGCTACTTGGCGTAACAACTCTTAAGAAAGAAGAACTTTTAATGTTGATAGCTTGAAACAATAGTTTTTCTTTTATGTAATTTAAAATCCATATAAGCTACAGACATCATATAATCAGGTCAAACGCCCTTATTATTTTGCTGCGTTGTCATTCCGGAAAACTAAGACCTTAAGCATTCGTACTTATCCCGATCTCCAACCGAAACACAGCTTACAAAGATAAAATAAAATATATGTCAATTATGTACGCACCATTTGATAGTTACAGATACAGATACTGCGTTTCGTAAATGGTACGTTTATAAATGGAAGTTATTTCAAGTTATCAGTTTGGAATACACAGACACCGACATACACCTCACCTAATCAGGTAAGGTGTATGGTATTGGTGGTTTCCTAGTATTCCTATGTTTCCTAGCTCACATCATTTTATGTACTTACATTATATTCACTCTTAAAATGTTATATATAACGACTAGTTTTTCTACGACTAGGGTTTCTAGTAATCAATTTTAATCAAATAAGGAATTCGGAATCAATGTTGGATTACAAATTATTATAATTATAATAAATGATGGAGTTGCATAAATATTATACAAAATACTGGTCACTTAAGCAATTTAACTGATATATTATGATTAAATTGGTTTACTACGTAGTTACGGTAATGGTCTCTCTCCAAGGCTCGCTCCGATAACGTTAATGGTACATTCGCTTTTGTGTAAAGCATCGTTACAGGTGCTTGCATATCGATTATCTATACCTTCCATTTACTACAAGGACAAAGATTAATACTGTCTACGTTAGTACATACATTCATTATTACTGTAGAGTTAGTACAAAGCGTAGGTCTAGGACCTCTGTATCTGTGTTTCAGTTGAAATGACAGTTAAATTACAATGCCTGCAATAAGCACGGAGACATGATATCTTAGTCCTAAGCAGTGCCAATTCATGATACCACAAGCATCAAATAGTGAGGTTATATTTGTGGTGTTATTCATGTATATAGACGAAGGTTACCATTGGCCATCAGGAGGTTAGTTAATTTGCGATTTATATTATATAAAAAGAAGTATTATATCTATAACTAATACTAATTTAACGAACATCGGCTAAATTAATTAAATTTTAACCTTTAGTATGAATACAGTAATTGTAGTCACACAACGTTTTACAGCTTTTAAATAAACAATAGCCTATCAATATTTAACAGCAAACAACTCAAATAATCATATACATATGTAGATTGTTCCACTTAGATACTAATTGGTATCTAAAAAGAACAACGAATAATTTAAATAAGTTACGCTCTTCCTTTATCATTAATTATGATATTCTACAATAATATTTAGTGGTAGTTTATACTCTAAAAGCAAACTTTGCTCTACAAATATTCAATATTAGCTTCTCCCAGTTTCTACCGCTATTTAATTTAAAACAAATAGTTTAAGCGTTTAATGATTATTTAAGTTCATCATATTACCCGTTTGCTCCATTTTTTTTGTATTCGCTTAGCGTTTTATCCGATTTTCTATCTTTAGCCGGGTCCCAAGGATTGTATCGTGATGTCCAATAGTAAATAGGCTATCAAAAGAATGTTTAATTTATCTTGCATTTTATATCGATAATTAAAAGTAGTCTTTAGTTAGTAGTTTGAAGCAAGATTGTTCCTATAATAGCAACTAATATTTTTTTTTCTAGTGGGCAGAAGTTTCATGGCAGGTAGATATAGTCAAACGACTTGGTATTATTATTCTTTTTTTGTTAAGCAAAAATAATCACTACTGCTTTATATGACATTTTTTTTAAATGATGGCTCATATTTTAGTTGACACCAAAATAATGTTAACGTAAAATTAATTATATATTACCATTCACTCTTGATTATAAAAGATTACCTATGTTTCCAAAATATTCATTCGAGTATTTTTTAACTGTATAACTGGAATGGCAACCAAACTGACGGCACACTTGATGGTAAATGGTAACCGTCACATATATATTATTCATGAACATCATATCATCCTTAGATGCTGGTGGTTTCCTTCATGGGAAAGCACCTGATCCACATCCTGACAGCTAAGTCTGTAGTTAAATCCTGTAGTTTTATTAGGATGTAGTATTTATTACCAGTGTCTGCTGAGGGTTGGTGATGATTTTCAGTATGCCGCCTCAGTGACCGCGCATCGCAGTACGACTTGCCACAACCATCTGCTTTGCACTCGTATGGTTTCTTATTGCGGTGGGTAAGCATGTGTCCGTTTCTGAAATGTAACATGAATTTAAATATACATATCTATCAATGTATAGATATATATATACAGGGTATATATTTTATCTGTAAATTTATTCTGTTGGTATATATACGTGACTTATACATACCTACTTATAAAAGTTAGGACTTATACTAATGATTTTTTTGTTTATATTTAATGACTCATCCTAGATGATTTAAATTCACTCTTTTACCTAATAGGTGACGCTACAATAGGGGTTAAAGTATATTTGTAGTGAAATTTAGATAGCTAAATAATATCTTAAAATTTTTAGATCTTTATCATTAAAATCTATCTTAAAATATGGATCTATGAAAATATTATTATTAAAATAAAATTGGTTATAAAACCAGGTTTAGTAAATGTAAATAGCATAATAAGTAACATAAAGTGGGTATAACCGTATAACTTATTTGTTGTTATCAAAAGATATGTCTAATATCATTACTGTTGGCACCGCTTTCGCAGTTTCACACAGACGCGCCGCAAACTTTATGCCCTAATAGAATGAAGCAGTAAATTCTGGCAGTCACTAAAATTTGCATTTTACTAAGTGTTCTTTTATTAAAATTTCGCCTTTAAAAGAATGTAAAGTTCAACATCGAGGCATAAGTAGGTCAGTGGAGCTACATGACCGGTGTTAAGTCAATATATAAGCATTATGAACACGATGGTCTCATTAATATTCATGCGGAGTGTAAGCTACAGCGATTAAAGTGACACCTTGTGCACTGAACGTGTGTTGTAGTCGTGATGGCAAAGACTAAATAATGACTGCGATAGTAGCGCTACCCCTTTCATAGTTACGACCACATTAAAATTAACTGTTTGACCTCTGGACTTTGCAGGCACGGACCTCTATTGTTCTTCTTATTGAGGTACCTATTATTATTAGTTAAAATTATGCATCCAGGTTGTTCACGTCTATATTTTGTACAGAATAACTAGGTTTGCGTCGCTATTTCACCAGTCTAAGGTCTAATTTGAAAGATATGGCGTTTGACCTTGGAGTCCGTCACATTGGTCGCCCGCTATATTATTTCATTTACCTTAGCATTTTTTATATATTTTTGTTCTAAAGATTGTGGCGTGATGATAAATACCTATAACTGAGGTTGAGTTAATCATCATACCTCTCCTTAAGCTATTAGATATAAAAAAGTGTTTTTCAAATATAACTATTAGTTTGTTTAATTAACGCATTCAAATAAACAAATAAGTTGACTAAAATTAATAAGAAACGTTAATATTCAAAGTGCTTCCGGAGACAAAAGAAAGTTCCAATGTTCCAAGTGAGGAGCATTTTCCTCAAAACATCATGTACTGGGAATTGTTTGCAAAGAGATTTATGTAGGTACTCACAGATGGTCCTGCCTCTTGAACGCTTTGGCGCATGTGATGCATACATATTTGCGTTCATCGCTGTGTGTTAGCTTGTGTTTTGCCAGTGCCGACGCGTTGCCGAAGATCTTGTTGCACACCTGAGACGAATCACAAAGATATAATATTACACACGACGTCATTTCCTATAATTGGACAACAGTTATTGACTTCACATGTTGTAAAATTTCATGGATTTTAATTCATTCCATATCTACAATATCAGTAAACATAATTTATTATAGACACGTACGTACAGTATAAGTTTATTTATAAAAAAAAGTATTTGATTGCATTTTTTACAAACAATATATTTTAATTTCATGTTGGCACATACCATATATCTTATACACTCATATCTATAATAGCTTTTATGTATATTCAGGAACTAAGTACATATAATATATTGTTTGGATTATTATGATTAATTAAGAAAAATTAGTCTTATTATTACTTAAAATCTATTTCATCCTATTGCCTACATAGCTACTCGGTTAACTGGTAACGAATGCTACATTCGGTATTAAGTTTACCAATATTATACATTTTGGGGCATTGGAAAATTAATAATAAAATAAATATTGAAACCCTTTTTGATATTTAGCTAGTTATAAACTATGTACATGAAGACAATATTCGTCTACAACCCCAATATTTGTATAAGATAGTTATATATGATCTTATAGCATTGTAAATAATTATAATAGTTGAAACACGGATGTGCGACCTTGGTATGATCCGTTGACGTTAATTTGATTTAACAGGCCTGCCGTCCAATCGGCAAAGGGTTGTGGCTAAATTGTGTAATAATTAAAATGAGGCGAACTCAATATTCAACTGTAATAACGAAACAATGGGAGTGAAGGGGTCCCTGGGCGGGTGTTGACCCTAATCCTGTGTTTGTTCCTCATCTAATTAGGGACCTTTTCGTCTCCTTATCCTGTTTTTATTTCGGATCTACGCGACCCTCTCTCGGGTCTACTTATCGATGAGCGCCTATTGTTTCCTAACTCACATAGTTTATATGTTATATACAATAATATATTCACAAAGAGTAGATACATGTAATACGCTAGAAGATGCCTTCATGATTTTCTTCTCTTTAGATTTTAGAGTATACTACTATATGTTCATAGATGAACTTCTCGCAAATGTAAAAAAATAGAGCATTTTTTTATTTACAAGGTACAATTTTTATTATTATTACGGTCTTTTTAATAGTTACTGTATACTTATCATCAACTATTATGATGGAAAGTGGTAATCGTATTCTATAGACATGATCAGCATCACGAATATCTAAAATACTGTATGACGCATGTGATACCCATTACATATAATATTCATGCCTTGCTGTTTCTAAAGAAAAAGGTGTACGTACCCTATAATTTCATCACGACCCTGACCTCGTATATTGTGTCGTATTGACTCTGTGTTAATACTAACTACACAAGATTAGTACGAATTAACAATACATAGGTGATGTAATATATATTCGTACATGTTCGATACTGCTGACCCTGATCCCGAGGACGTCTGAATATTTTACGACTGCCCCATGGGTTTATGCCTACTCGTGTGTATATTGCACATGTAATGAAAGGCCTTTTACTTTTCAGTACGTTAAGGTATAGTCGTAAATAATATGGTAACATACAGCTATAATATAATCATAGTTCAAAAACAAAATACATACATTTTTAATAACTATTACACTAAATAGATTCTATAAAAACAGCGTGGTTTATTTGACATATTGTAAAAAGTATTATGTAAATTTATTGATTTTTAGCGAAGATCACGTTACATTCACTTGTTTCCAAGCAAATATGATTCTCAACTAAGTGGTGTCGGTTGCGTTATAAATCCAGTACCCATCAGGTGGATCATTTTTTTGTCATTCTTTTTATACACAAAACTATAGAAACAAGAAACTTTTCATTTTGGCGGTATGTTAATAATATATATAATTGACAAGATCGAAGAGTCCAGCATTGCCTTTAAAACGAAAAATTAAAAATTCTGCCTGATATAATCTACTTAGTTAAGCATATTGCTTCCACTATGTAGTAGTAGGCAAATTACTATATCGATTGCCGTCGAAGGGTCATAATGTAATACAATCGTCCTTTAACCAACTCCAACATTGTAGCGGCCAACGGTGCTCCCCTAGGGATTTGTTTCAGGACCCCGATATTGTATTAGCCTCAACTTAACAGAGTTCTGAAGCGTGATGACTTGATATTATCAATTTTATGTCTAGTTATTTCGTTACAATATTGAAGTAACTGATATACCAGAGGGAGATTTTGTTTAAATGGGTTATATACAGATACAAATATGTATTCCGATAAGTAGCTTAGTTTGCAAGTTATAATTTGTTTTATGGAGCTAATGACAGTGAAATTACAAGTGTAATAATTTTAGTCTCCAAAAAAAGCAATGCATTAATGGTGTCATAGATGCCACAGTATATTATTGATTATAAACACAGAGAAAGAATCCGCAAAACGCTATATAGTTTAAACCTTCGCTACATGTTTAATTTTTTTGAATATCAAAGTCATATATTACATAAATTTAAAACTGTTTCAGATATCCACAGAATTTATAAGACATCTAAAAATATGTAATGTATTTTGGTTGAAGTAGTGCAGATATCTATTGGGCGGATCTATGTTTATGGCATAGAATATTATGCTTTTATTGGGAAATAAAGTGGGGCCTATGAGGTTGTTGTGACTATCGATACTTTGCTCAATATGAATCGGGATTTCGATATAAATTGGTAGAATTAATGGCATTTTTATGACAGACTGCGATATTTGGCATTGTCTGGATTGTCTACTTTATGGATACACTATGGCGTAAAACATTAATCAATATGCAAGCTTTTATTAAAGTTATAGATATATTATAGTTATATTTATTCAAAAGAAATTAATATAAATAATATAACCCTATATTTTTACTCATTGCAACGCATAACAGACAGTAAATAGAACGAGACTATTAAAGCTAAAAAAAAAATCCATTTTAGTCATAATTGTTGATAATAAAATTTTTTTTGATTAATGACCGGATTAACTTAATTAAGAGCAAGAGATAGTTGAGTGTTATCCAATAATAACCCTGTGACTATTACAAAACGCTCATTGTTTTCAGAAAATAAATTCTTAAAATAATTATGAAATAATAAAAATCGTGTCAATTAAAAAAATGCACCTATCTTATTTTACAAGTAGTAAAATAAGATAGGTGCAATTTTTTTTAGTTTCAATTTGATTAAAATAGTGTTACATTTATGTATGCATTAATTGATGGTATCAATTGCAAACCTAATACACAAACGCAAAATTATCTCCCTCAAAATGACAATTCATGAGGCAAACGACTGTGTGACAGTGCCTTTGGACCTTATGGAATGGATTTAGGAAATCTTTTAATTTAATATACTCGTGCAAACTTAATGATAAAATTGTGGCAAATCATACATATTCGTAGCAATGGCCCTTACCTACACTCTCAGTTCGCAATTGTTGGGGACGACCTCGTTACGTTTGAACCGTGACCTAGATTGTAATTTGTGTAAAAAAAATCGGGTCAAGTCTGTGCAATTATTGGTATTAATTTTATTCCATTGTTTGTTCTATTTATCATTTATTTGCTAATTGTAAAAGAGTCAAAAAGTTTAAATAAATCTGTCTTAAAACTTCATTAAGATCGGTTCATCCGTCTAGTCTTTATAAAATTAGAATCAGAACCAGACAAATATATATCCAGGAATACACACTTTCGCATTAATAATATTTATTTGTATTGCAGATTTACAACAGAAGCCGACGTTAAATCCATTTTTTTAACGGCAAGCTGTCAACATGTACTGGCGAAGGTATTACTGTGGGACTCTGACGCTAAACTCTAAAGCCTCTAGGGCGGGTAACATGCACGCATCAAATTTTTCGATGACTTAATCTTTTGGATTTGTTCTATACCTAAACGTGACTCGCCTCTCAATGAAAGAGAAAGACCTTCGACAGAAAGTAAATTTAGTTTTGGGAAGATGAGGGATGGTAAAAGGGAAAATTTGTGATGTGGAAATCGTTTAGTTGGCTTAATGAACACTGCTGAATTCTGACTACGGGGTCTTGTGTACATGTTCCGTCCCAATATGTCTCCAATAATACCATGTAGCGCTGCAGTAATATTTCATGATTTCAAATTTCGAACGTCGTTTATTTTTTAAATGTACATATTTTTCTAACGGCAAAGATTAATTATGATTGTTTACATCATTTGTATATTGTTTTCGTTATTAATAATAAAAATTATATCGTCTCAACTATTATATTCTTGATTATAATATTTATTTATTTATAAAAGATAATTGTCACTATATGATATATACTACTATAATTTATACATAAATTACAGTGATACATATCTCTATAGTAATAGGTACTGCATTGTGTTCTTGTTACAGGGACATTAGCATCTGTAACTGGCTGTTTCCCTTGGTTTTATTCAAGGAACATCAATGTCTTTTGTAAGATTGAAATGTCTACCCTATTAACTGTATATAATTAAAATAAAATCATAATGCATAAATTATTATACAAAAAGTATCTGGGAATAACGCACAATACTTTTAATTTCAATTCACGTGGGCAACGCTGTTGGTAATTAATATTTTCAATGGAATCTAATTTCAAACGGTTAATTAAATTACAAAAAATATATATATTACCTAATAAATGAAACATAATTGACACGTATTTGTGGCAGGTTTTATGTTCAGGTTCTGCTTAATTAAAAAACTTATTACTACCGAGTAATAAGTTTTTTAATTAAGCAGAACATTTCCGATATATAAATTTATATACGGTAAGAAGGTTATCTTTTTGAAAAGCACTTAAGAAACCTTATTATAATATATTTTTGGGTGTGATTTATTGATTTATAAATCCGCCCAAGCTTCGTACAGTGGCATGACAAGTCTCTGAATTACTCAGCTTTTCTGTACTATTCCTAATAAGCATCTATTAAATATATTATATGTATATACATATCCCACCTTCTTCTGGATTCAATCATCTATTAC